TAGGGGCGGGGATAGCGGAACATGGAGGTGGCGGGGGACGAGGACCAGCTTTGGCACCACAACGTATTCCTGGTGGTGGAGGTGGTCCAGGTGGGGGAGGAGGTCGTCCACCAAAAGATGGCCCTCGAGGAGGATGAGGAGGAGGTGCAGCTTTAGGTGGAGGAGGGGGTGGAGGGGTTGGTGCTAGAGGAGCTATAGTGACAGGAGGAGGTGGCAGAACTACCCTACCAGGCGGCGGCTTCAAGGGAGGCAATCCAGCTATGCCAGACTTTCCAGATTCTACCAGAACAGAACCATCTATCACTGTGGCAGGGGACAAACCATGTCCCACTGGAATCTCTATTCTAGAGTTACTGAGTGTGTGTGGTTCCATGAATAAATTACAGCTCATTTTATCATGGAAGTTGTCGTCGAATGCACTCTTTCTGTTATTTAATGAGCTATCCAAAGAGAACGACTTCTGTGAGGATGCTGAAACATTGAAGGTAGAGAGAGATCAGTAGAGCAGAAATCAAGTCAGTAAGAAAACAGGAAGTGACAAACGAAATTTGAATTTACCTACAGAATGGTCACTTAAGCTTAAGCTCAGGAGGGGCCTCTTATCAGTCTGCCCATTTCCGGATTCACTCCTCCGAATCTTAATACAGCATATAGACAGCAAGACAACAATAACAAATGTCGCTCCAGCAGGCACGGCTACAGAAGCACTACTTGGTTTTTTACTTTTACCAGTTTTCTTGATTGATGATGCTTTTGCAGTTGAGTTTAAACTTATTTTAGAATGTTTAACACTTGCATCACTGAGTTTCCGTGGAACAAAAGGCTGCACTGGAGGACTAGCGTGTAATTTTTCTTCTTCAAAGCTTTGAGTCAACACTTGTTGTTTAGGAACACAATTAGGCCTAGCGTATAAGAAGTCGAAGCACCTGCTATACCAAGGTCTTGAAACACTTTCCTCTCCATAGACACTAAGCATGAGATTTTTCTTCCTTAAGCAATCCAGAAGGGGTTGTTCGACCAATGGGTGCAAGGTATTTACAAATTTTTGCATTTCTCTCATAGATGGTCTGCCATTAGAAACTACTCCCATGCTCCATTTATACTTACGTACTTGGACAATAAACTCAAAATCTTCTACAGCTTTCTTGGCATGGAACAACTCTATCCTACAGTTTAACCATATTAGCTCAGCCTGCAACAAAAAACACTTTCATAAAAAAACGCATTTCATACGTTCCACTTCCTTATTTTTCGTTCAAAATGCATTCTGAGCTTAACGGAAAATCTAACCCTTAGGTCCCTCAAGGACTCACACTATCAAATTCCATTTTTTCTTAGCTGCAGTCTAAATTTACAGTCTACTGTACATTTTTTGCTGAAGTCTACTGAGTACTGACAGTATACTGAAAAACTTTCTTATATGTTCTCTTTATACTTATCTTCTTGGACATTAAATCCAAAATCTTCTACTGCTTTCTTGGCATGGATCAACTCTATCCCACAGTTTAACAATAATACTATATTAACTAGAACTGGTGCATAACTGAAATAGTGTATTAACCCTTAAGAACTGGCATTACTTTCAAGTACCAACTCGTCGTCATTATTATCAACAATTTAATCCCAACAAAGTGAGCTCAGTGGTACCTAAAAAAACGGATTTTTTCCTGCTAGGATCTTGTTTCTTAATCAGGACCTCAGACCCTTCAAAATGAGAAACGTCTAAAATGCAGCAACAGAATAAAATGCATTTGGTATTTTCATGAAATTATTTTATACACTACAAAATCAAAAACTTGAGAAATTAAAAAGTAGGGGCAGATGTGGAGGCAAACCAACCGAGCCTTGGATTCATCCAAGTAAAATAATAATAGCATTACAACAAAGCTGAGGCTTTACGCTCTAGAGAAAATCATTCTACGTCAGCCCACCAAGAGAGGAGCAACGCATGCTGGTTTAACATGTCATGCCATAGTGCCTTCAAGTAACCAGAGAGCATATGGTTTCCTGGTTTTATTTGGCCAAAGCATAATCCCACTTCTTTGTATGCAGTTTAGAAAGTTACTATGGTAAAACACAGGTCTCTTAACTATTGCCCAGCCACAACAGGGGTCAAATTGAGATTTCCTTCACCATGGGTACATAGATCCTAATAGAAGCCTATGCTTCGAGTTGGCTTATAACATAAGAAACTCTCCCTCGCACTCATAATTTTACTAACAATTCTTTTGCATATTGTTGGTATGTCTGGGTTCTCCCTTAAGTTCGTCCTTAAAGATTGCAATCTTTTTGTTTCTCTAAAGTAAACCATGCCCTATAGGTTTTCCCCTGTCTGTACATTTACATATTATCAGGTATTAATTCCTTTCTTACCCTTAAAGAATCCTAAATATATGTATTGAATTCCAATAGCCATATTATCAGCAGCAAAGAAAAATATGAAACTAACAACACGAAAGAACATGTTGAGGGTTGATAAAATCCTAACTTGCTAGCTGTTTCTACTTGCTAGTTATGTTGCACGGATTCTTCAAAAAAGTGTCGTCTCTCGTCCCTGCAAATGTCCCCATTTGATTACTTGGGGATGTTCTGACAACCTAACCCTTCAAAAATATTGAAAAATTAGTGTTTCCACGTTTCCGACCCCATCTCCGTATAAGTACCATCCTCATTTCCGTGCAACTTAGCTTGCTAGTTTATAACAATAATAAGTCAGTGTTGAAGTATGTAAGGGACCTCAATTGATCCACCATTTATCAGAAATCTAGAAAGTAGAGTTAAGAAAATAATAATGATAATAATAACAACAACAACAACAACAACAGCAACAATAATAGCAACAACAACAACAACAACAAAAATGATACTTCATCCCAAAAGTTTTACTTTCCTCTCAAGAACATCCCAATATATAGTTTACATTACTTTCAAGAAAATGATTGAATGGTTTACATTATATTTCAATCATACTTTCACATTTTCTTAAGAGTAAATTCTATAAATCATCCTTTGTAAAAGGGGTTTTCCATATATAGTGACCAATTCAAAAATAATACATCCACTGTCCTTGATATTTGAAAACTATTCCATGATTATTAGTTCTTTGGGGACTATATTTGGAAAACTATTCCTTGATCACTCCTTTGGTGACTATATTAGGAATACAATACTTGGGTTAAAAGATTTACTATGAAATGATTCTCAAATATAGAGAACCAGGAACGTTATATTTTAGAGTTGGGGACTATATATGAAAACCCCATGTTATAAAAGATCATTTATGGAGTTTACTCTTTCCTTAATTGTTGTGAAGAAACAAATCAAAACTTTATCAGAAAGTGGTGTTTAAACAATATAAATTTTAAGAAAATGCGATGCAGCTTCCTATGGTTGATAAATCAGATTATAAGTGCATCTTAACAAGATCAATCAGAAAAATGAGAACGTTGTATTCTCACGGCCCAAGTGCTACCTGTTCACGATTTATCAGTCCATATTTGATTAGACTGTCCATTAAATCATCTTCTGTGATCGTCTTCTTCGCCTCACATGTTGCTCCCATACCAGAACAAACAAACATAGAAACGATACACAAAAGTCCTCTTCTGATATGCATTTGCTCTTGAATCATTAGAAAAATCAACTCCGAGACCTCCAGTTTGCACAAACTGAACCCCAAAATCTGAAAAGCATTCTCCCTGCTTGAGAGAAGAAAACATCAAGATTTTGAAGGAATAATCACCTATACGATGCACCGCTCAGAATAACTGGATTAAGAACTTATGCCATTCATAGTAATCCACGCGTATTATTCATCAATAAATCATAATGTGGAGTACAGGCGACTCCAAGAATCACGGAAGAGATTAACAGAAACGCCTTTTTCACAGGAAGAGCCACAATACGTAATAAACAATCATGAAATCTAGTGCTCAATTCAACTTGAAATGGCATACAAGGAAGAGAATAAAGCCAATGAATTGTATCGTTCAAAACCTGCCGAACCAAAGACGCAAGAATCATCATTTCCTAATCTAAATTCCTTCAGACAAGGTTTTGTGCATGTCCAGATCGAGCAAGAGAATCCTCCGCAAGCATGATACATGAAATCAATCACGGATCGGATTGGGGTGGTGGTGGAGGGGTTTGAATAGGCGGGAGCTGACGTAAGAGAAATTATACGATGGAAAGTGCAATTTCTCTTCGGGCGGAGACGACCCCCCATATGGAAATTTCCTATCACAATTTGCACCTAAGGAAAATCATAGCCCGCCACCATTATTTTGGAACGTGGGTAAATGAATGGAATACTTTTTGTTTGATTCGTGATTCGTATTCGTATGAGGTAATTTGTATTTGATTTTTTTAAATTCGAATATAAATACGAATTTGAATAAATATTCAAATCCTTATCAAATAGGAATATGAATCAAGGGTATTCGATTTGTAAGTTTGATAAATATATTTGAAATATAATTTTAATACTAAAAGTATACCTATTACTCACCTCTCTTATGCTGATGATATTATTATCTTCTCCTCTGGGCATGCTAGATCCATCATGAACCTGAGAAGATTCCTTGAGGACTACCAATTGGTCTCTGGGCAGACTATTAACTATCACAAAAGTAGTTTTATGGTTGGAAAGAAGGCTAATGGTGTCCTGATTAACAAATTGCAGCAGGCACTTAGTATGCCTTTTAAGGCTTTACCATTCACTTATCTTGGAGTCTCAATTGGTCTTGGTATCACTAGGAGTGTTCACTGTGCTCATATTATCCACTCCTTTGATAAAAAGCTTAATGGATGGTATCAAAGAAATCTGGATGCAGCAGGTAGATTGATTCTTATAAATCATGTCCTCAATACCATCCCCAACTACTTTCTTGCTGCCAGCACATTGCCAAAATCCATATGCCATATATTGGGTCAAAAGATGGCTCGTTTTTGGTGGGGTGGTAATGCCAACAAACATCATTGGATACGCTAGGAGAGGTTATGTCTACCAAAGGGGGAGGGTGGCCTTGGGATTAGAGATCTCAAATCCCTTGAACAAGCATACTCTTGTAAACTTTGGTGGAAAGTTCATCAAGCAAACTGTCTTTGGAGTAGGTTCATGAGAGCTAAATATTGGAGGAATGGTGATATGGTGTCCCATCTTATTGATTCTCCTATTTGGGAAAGGATCTCAAAAATTGATGAAACAGCTCAAAGGATCTGCTGCCACAATGATGATGGCAGTATCTCATGGGGGGATGATCCACAAGGCAGGTTTACCCTCAAATCTACATATGCTCAATGTAGGGCTGCTGCCAATCCTACACTGCCCTTCAAACGGATTCGGGAGTCTCCTCAAAACCCTAAGATTAGCATCTTTATGTGGAAGCTACTTAATGGTTGTCTTCCAACACCTGATAATCTGCAGAAACTTGGTTTAAATCTGCCTTCTATGTGCCCATTTTGCAAAACATCCTCTTTTACTATGAAACACACCGTTATTGACTGTCTAGTGATTTGCATTGTTTTGAGACATTTTTCTATGTGCTTTGGTTTCCCTCATCTTCAGTCTTCTTCAATCACTCAACACTTCATGAACTGGTGGCTAAGGGGTAACAACACCATCCATGGCTGGCTTTCTCAAGAAATACACGCCCTCCATCATTTGTTAGCACATTTGGAAGCACCTGAATGCTATCATCCACGGTGAGATTTCTAAGCTTAACAATGATTTTTTGATTCATACTATCTCTCGTTATATCTATCAATGGGTGGCCATCAAAGCACCAAAGAAGCTTCGGGTTAAGGATGCATGGCTCACCAATATGAATCTTTTACCTGTTTTCAAAACAGAAGCTAAGGTGCGTATTGTTAAATGGTTGGCTCCTCCAAAGGGCAGGCTTAAGCTTAATATTGATGCCACTTTTACTCCAAACTGCCAAAGAGGAGCTGGTATTATACGCAATGAAGCAGGTTCTTTTGTCTGTGCAGCTTCCTTTCGTCTATCATGCAACTCTTCCTTTCCAGCAGAGGTTCTTGCAGCGATTCAAGCTATTAAATGGGCGTTATCTATTCAGAAAGATATCATTTTTGAAACGGATGCTTTGGAGGTGATTCGAAGGATCTCTAAATTCACTCACCTTGCTACCTCTCCTCTCCCTATTGACATTCTTTCACGCCTTATCTCTGACAATGGAGTTTGGATTTCACATGTGCTTCGGGAAGGAAATCAACCGGCTGATCTTTTAGCAAAGGAAGATAGGAACAAAGATAATCCGTTAATTATGTATTCTTATCTTAGTTCTTGTCCTACTAAAGTTAGAGTTGCACTTGCTCAAGAGATTGTACCTTCGTTTCGTTTTCATTAATAAAATTTATTTCTTTTGATTATATATATATATAAATATGTGTGTGTGTGTCTATTTATATATATATATATATATATATATATATATATATATTATAGACACACACACATAATAGCTAATAAATAGATTAAATGGTTATAAAATATTTTAAAATCTAAATGAACCTAATATTTTTAAACGAACCGAATATATTTAAATGAACCGAATATGTTTACTCTCTCCGTCTCTGAGTATTTGTCCACTTTTGACTTTGTTTGGTCAAAATTGGTAAACTTTGACCTCAAATTAAATAAAAATGTTACGGAGTATTAGATATTGATACAAAAAGAGTTTTATTAGATTAATTATATCAAATATTTTCAAAATATTATTTTGTTTAATTAAAATACAATATATATTTTATTTAATAAAACTCTTTTTGTATCAATATCTAATACTCCGTAACATTTTTATTTAATTTGAGGTCAAAGTTTACCAATTTTGACCAAACAAAGTCAAAAGTGGACAAATACTCAGAGACGGAGAGAGTAAACATATTAGATTAATTATATCAAATAATTACTTATATTGATATTGATACTCAAATTAAATAAAAATGTTACGGAGTATTAGATATTGATACAAAAAGAGTTTTATTAGATTAATTATATCAAATATTTTCAAAATATTATTTTGTTTAATTAAAATACAATATATATTTTATTTAATTATAGGTCAAAGGTTGAAAACAGTTGACCGAAAAAAGTCAAAACTAGACAAATACTCAGGGACGGAGGTAGTAATCTATTAAACGAACCGAATATGAATCTTAAAAAAATTTGAACCGAATTCGAATATCACTTTATCTTAACGAATACGAATATTATTCATGAATATTCGATTTGATTCTGTTCTTTTACAACCCTACCGCAAACTAGTTATAATCCTTTATTCTTTATTGGCCTCCTTCTTTTGACAACAAAAGAGGTGTTACACTATGACAGAAAAAAACTTATGATGCTTCGTTCAAAAAATTGGATGTTCCTAATCTCCTTAAACTCTTGCTTCCCACCTTGCCCTCCTCCCACCTCAGCAGCCCCCTGCCCCCTGCCCCCCCCCCCCCCCCCCCCCCACATCAAATTGTCGATTGGCTATAGTGTTGGGGTGGGGGCTGCTGAGATGGGGGCAACAGGAGATAGGAATCATCAATTTTTCATGCAGAACACCATAGGCCATTGTTGTCATAATATGAGAACAACGACCATTGTCAAAAAAAGCTCACAGATTTTTTATAGGCCAAATAGCACCAGTACCCCCGTGGTTTGAAAAATAGGTACTACTAATCCCTAGTCTTCAAAACTTATTTCCGAAATTCACTTGGTTTCAAAACGTTGCATTCATACCACTCTAATCATTTTCCGACTATTTTTATGACGAAGGAGGTATTGGTGCATATTTTCCAAAGCATAGACGGCACCGGTGTTCATTCCTAATTTTTTTATTTCCTTTTTTAGTTTCTTTTATTAATCAAAGTTTTTTAAATTTCTTTTTAAAATTGTTTTTACAATGTTCTTAAAATTTTAAAATTATTTTTTGTTTGAAAATAAAATAAACACATATTGCATCTGTACGTCTCTAATTAACAATTTATATTTTTTCTTTTCTAAAATAAAAAATAAAAACCAGTCTTGAGAACTTTAAAAAATGAGGAATAAAATAAGATATAAAGTAAAAAAAATGAATATCCTTGTTGGAGATCCTAATTCTAAGGACTTTTTAGGTGTTCTGAATTTTTTTTTTTGTATATGACTCTTTTTTAGATATTTCAATTTTTTCATTTCGTTTTTCCATTTTTTTATGTTTATTTTTTTACTTTTTTTTGAACTTACCACACACTTTTTTGTTTAAAAAAATATATTTCTTTTATACTACAAATACATTAAGATCATAAAGTAAGCAAAAAGAGAAAGGTGCCCATGACATTGCCCGGCAATGTCATGGGATGACCTGGGGCCGCTCCGGTGTCCCGTTCGTAAAATTGACGGTTTCTATCTTCTCTAACCGCCCACCCGCCCCGACCCGAACACACCGTCTACCCCCTTCAATTGCACCCCACAAGTTGATTTTGACTCTGGAGTCAAATTTTGGGAGAATACAACAGTGTTTGTTTGATAGACAAAAGAAGCAATTTGGGGGAATACAACAGTGTTTTTGGCGCCATTATAAAGAGTTAAACACCCAAAAGAGGACCTTTAACGTAATCTAATAAAGTGGTGGAGACCTTGTTGTCAAGAAGCTGATACAAGTCTGTTGTTTCTTTAAAATTGCAGAGTGGTCCAATGGAACATTTAATTAGCTCGAATCCCCTAGCACCCAAACCCACCCAAGTAAAAAAAAGATTAAAGGATAAACTTGAATCTGTAGGATCCACCCAAGAACGACCGAGCAATTAACTTGAGGTAACTATATATTTTTTGTGCTTATTTTCAAGGATTAATTTTTTCATTTTATTTGAGTCGTTTGTGCTCACTTTCTAGGATTTTTTTTTTAATTTTATTTTCATTTTATTAATAAACGTATTAAATTAAATTCATAGTTATGCTCCATATGTCAAATTTTGACATCTAAGAGAGTAAGAGCATCTATATTTGAAGGACTACTACGAGGACCACCTCCTCGGGCTCCTGCTTCCCTCTTCCACGTTAGATTTTGTAGACTTAACTCACAATATTTTCATTACTCTTTCTATTCTGCTATATCAAAAGGACTAGTAAGACAATATTATTTTTATTTTTATACAAAATCCAAGTGCACTCATAAAGGTTTTTGTAGATATAAAAAAGTGTTTTTATTTATTTGGGACAATTAACAGTATTATTTTAATTTATATGTCGTATATATTCCGTATTTTTTACCAATCCAATTTAAAAAAAACTTTGTAGCTTTTCAATTATGTCTCTTGAATTATACTGCAGGATAAATTCAGTTTAACTAAAACAGACGCTTTAAAATGAGATGGAAGTAGTAATTATTTTGAACCATATATTCATACCAAAACATAAAATAAAGAAATTGCATAGTATGTTTAAAAAGTAAAGTGTAAAGTGGTTTAGAATGTCTAGAATTGGGTTGAACTTGCAATATTGAAAAAAAATTTGGGACTCACTAATATTTAAGAAGTATAAAAAGGTGGGAAAAAAGAATAAAATGTAAGAATATTCATTTGAGTGTGATGTAATGAATTGGAGAAGAATTACTATTTAATTTGACATTTACTGCATTTTGAGTTTGAGTTTGAGTTTGAGTTTAAGCTAGACTGTTGGAGATGGTCTTATGGGTGGTAACTTGGTGATAGGTAGTCACTGAATTTTTCATTGCATTGTAAGCTTTTGGTCTGCAGTCAATTCCTTTGCTTCTTGTAATGAAGTCTATTGTGGGAAGGATTATGCTATATGTACCCCAAGTTTTGTACCCCAATTTGTACCCCGCAGTTTTGCACCAACACTTTATGTTGGTGTAAAATTAATTTTTGTTAAATGCATCAACATTTGTGTCCGTGTGAATTTTTATTAACGCACAAACACTTGTGTCGGTGTAAACCATCGAAATGTTTGTGCAAACCTGTGGTGTACAAATGAGGTATATTTTTTGGTGTAAGTGTAGCATGGTCCTTGTGGGAACCATTACACACCAGGGATTCCCTTCCCATCTCATCTCAAGTGATCATTTTAAGCTATTTTGAGTACCATGCCCTTTGGATTGCTAGTTAGTTGAGTACCATACCGGGCAATGTCATGAGAACTGTCCCTAAATAGAAGTTTGCATTGTGGTAATGTGACACTTTACATGTGCATTTTACGTAATATACATGGTCGTAATTGGTAATGTAAATATATATTAAATCCTATTTCGTAAATAAAAATATTCAACTTTTATTTTGGTATATTTTCAATTTTTTACTTCTACTTTGGTCTTTTTTTCCTTTAAATTTCTACACCAATTTGAAAATAATACAAATTTAATATTGTAATCAAAATTTCCCCTTTTGTTTAGGGATAGTGGGAATAATATTTTTGAAATGTTTTGTTATAAATGAATTACGGAGTATATATAGTTGATCTAACCAATTTGACCCCCTCGACCAATAAATCTGACATGTGCCTCGGTGAAATATTCAACATACACGTGTCATGCATTCATAACTCTCGAGGTCGAGAGCTCGGACACCATAGACAACGTCAAGGCTAAGATTCAAGACAAGGAGGGCATCCCTCCGGACCAGCAAAGGCTCATCTTTGCGGGGAAACAGCTCGAGGACGGGCGTACCCTGGCTGATTACAACATCCAGAAAGAGTCTACCCTCCACTTGGTGCTCCGTCTCAGGGGTGGGATGCAGATCTTCGTCAAGACCCTAACAGGAAAGACTATAACTCTTGAGGTTGAGAGCTCTGACACCATTGACAACGTCAAGGCCAAAATCCAGGACAAAGAAGGCATCCCTCCAGATCAGCAGAGATTGATCTTTGCTGGGAAGCAACTTGAGGATGGCCGGACCTTAGCTGATTACAATATCCAGAAGGAGTCCACTTTGCATTTGGTGCTCAGGCTCAGGGGCGGGATGCAGATTTTCGTGAGGACATTGACTGGAAAAACCATTACTTTGGAGGTGGAAAGCTCCGACACTATTGATAATGTCAAGGCTAAGATTCAGGACAAGGAGGGGATACCACCCGATCAACAAAGGTTGATCTTTGCTGGAAAGCAGTTGGAAGATGGTAGGACTCTGGCTGATTACAATATCCAGAAAGAGTCTACCTTGCATCTTGTCCTCCGTCTCCGTGGTGGCGATTGTTGATTCGATCTTGAAGCCTATTTGCTTTCATGTTGGTTATGGATAATAAAATGTCACTTTAGTTAAAGTAATAATGATGTGCTGATTTGTTTAACAACTTTGTTCTGATCAGTTACTAGAGTATTATCATCATTTTTAGTACTCCATAAGATCTTGCGTTTGTTCTTTTTGCCGCATATCTACCAATAACTTTTTAAGTCCTTGATACAACTGCAAGAAATCGTTTTTATGGGCGACAACTTTTGGTGATTTTTGGTCACTGTATTTATCTACAAAATTTCATTGTATTGCAAGTTTTTGGTCTGCAGTAAATTCCTTTGTTTCTTATATTGAAGTTTTTTGTGGCCTGTGGGGACAATTACACACCAGGGATTCCCTTCAATTCCCATCTCATTTAACCTAAAAACTATCCTTCCCATGTTGAATAAGCATTTTCACAAAACCTTCCTTCGGCTGTATCCTAGTTAAGTGATTTTAAATGGTTTTCTAATGGTCTCTCATCCGTCTCCTTGTGTTCTAGAGGAAGGAAACATGAAGGCCATGTTTGGTTCAAAGAATTTGAAAGAGAAGAAATGAAAATAAAGTGGAAAACAGTTTTTCTTGTTTGGTTAGACATGAAAAGAAAGGAAAAATGGAAAGAAAAGAAAATGAGAAGGCAAAATGTACTAAGTGGAGGGAAAACCAAATTTTCCCCATAGATTGAACCAAACATAGTGGAAAGGGGATGCTCCAAAAATCACAAGTTGAATGAGGTGCACCAAAGGTCTTTAGTTATTGTTTAGAATTGATACATTAAATCGATAATCTTTGCAAACACAAATGCATCACTGGTGAACCTCGTAATGGCCATGGAAGAATTGAAGGTGGAGTCATTGTAGGAAGACAATCTCCAACCAGATGGTCAACGGTTTCTATCCGGAGAATTGGAGAAGTAATTTGCAGAATAAATAATATTTTGATTTTTTACGAATACCAAGTTTATACTTTAGTCCGAAATGGGCTGCAGACTTGGACAGATTAGGGTGTTACATTCCCATACCGATTATTGTTTTCTAATCACCAAACAACATAAACAACACATAATCCACACAGGATTTCACATAACTCAACCGTAACGATTCTACAAACGTAAGATTCAAATCTAAGGATATAACTATACGTTAGATGTTCACGTACTCACCTTGATTACACCGATTAAAAACTACAGAGATAATACCACGAATGCAGAACGCGACAACGAACTCCTCTTTCTTCTTCCATCTTCTTTCCTCTTTTCTTCGTCCTTCTTTTCCCTTGCGCTTCTGCTTTTTTCCGCCATTGTTCCATTCCTTCGGTTTTGTTTGTCGGTCGAGAGAGAGAGATACGAGAAAGACGAGAGAGTTTACGTAAGTTATGGGGTGTGACGTGAGGGTTTGGGGCGTGTCAGAGTGTATATATAAGTTTGGGGTTTTGGGCCCCGTAATTAATTAACGTACCTGGGACAAACACTTTTTGGCCCCACAAGCTCCAAATCGAAATCCGTTTGGACCGTTGGGTTCGTTTCGTCGAACCCTACACAACGGTATAAACAGTTTTATCAAACTAAGAATATTTTAGAATTACACTGAGTCTCAGTAATTAATTATTCTTTAATTAAATAATCCTGATAGGTCGGGTTTCAAGGCGTTACATTTCTCTCCCCTTAAAATAATTTCGTCCTCGAAGTTACCTTAGTCATTGGTCATTAAAGAGTTGAGGATACTGAGCTCACATGAACTCCTCAGTTTCCTTACTTCTACCACGACATAGTTTCGCCAAAGCACGTACGTCTACCGAGAGGACTTTCTTATTCCTTAGTCCTTTACTTCACGTGCTAGAATTTGTATGGGTTCTTCTTCATAGGTGAGGTTCTCATCGAGTATGACTGCTCCCTCGGGTAAGTCATGTGATGGAACTGATCGGTATCTTCTCAGCATGGACACGTGGAACACGTCGTGTATCCTCTGTAGCTCTAGAGGTAACTCCAACCGATAAGCCACTTCCCTACTCGTTAAATGACCCGGTATGGTCCAATGAACCTAGGACTTAGCTTGCCTTTATTACCAAATCTCAACACCTTTTTACATGGAGAAACCTGGAGGAATACCCAATCGTCGACTATATATTCAATTTCCCTACTACGCTTGAGGTAGACGTAGGACTTTTGGCGTGCTGAAGCAATTTGCAGCCTATCGCGTATAAACCAAACTTTCTTTTGTGCTTCGCGAACAAGGTTGGGTCCTTCGAGCTTGGGCTCGCTCTACTTGGTCCAACAGACCGCGGTTTTACAACATCTTCAATTATCCAATTGCCAATTCAAGTTGAGTTAAATTGTGTTGAGTGTGAGTTCTGATTCTAACTTCTAAAGTTGTTTTAGTTATCTTTATCACTTAAATTCTTTATTTCTTTGTACTCTTTATAAGACTATTAGACTACAATTAGCCTGTGATAAATAATACGAGTAAAACTAACTATTCCCTCATTTAGTTATTTTTATCGATCACTTAAATTCTTTATTTCTTTGTACTCTTTATAAGACTATTAGACTACAATTAGCCTGTGATAAATAATACGAGTAAAACTAACTATTCCCTCATCACTTAATTTTGGAGAGAACGATTGAGTCCAACTTAATTAATTATTTTTTGATTTACCTCTTTACGCACTTCGTTAATCACCGGTGTCGGATCTCTATTGATCCGATCTCACTCGACCCCTTTGAGTTTTGCGCTTTTAACTCTTCCCAAAAGGCAGTTGTACCCATGTTTGGGTACAACCGGCTTTACAATAGATGATTGACTTTGTGATCATGTTCACGCGGGTATTCAAGTCAGCACCTATTTGAATAGACGTGTTGTTTTTAAGGAATATCAACACTTCCTCTGCTTCACAAAATAACTTTTTTTCCCTTTTACTCCTCTAATAAAAACACTTCTACTTTTAATTTATGATCAAATTAAAGTTGCTAATTTTGTCTAAAAAAGTTAAAAATTGACAAAATACTAGGGTCAAAGGTGGTATATATTAACTTACTTATCATATCATCACATCTAGTGATTACATTGTAAAGCCAACTAAAATATACGGAGTATGCTCTATTTAGAGATTTGGTAAAGGCCAAAATATGAATGGTTTTATAAAAAGAAGGTATTAAAATTTGATGGGCACACATTATATTATTGGATGTCTATTCATGATGCCTTGCCTTCCCATATCGAGTCACATTCATTACACAATGCAATTATGCAAATACATGAAAAATTCGAGGCAATGGCCAAGGAAAGTATAAACACAAAAAAGTAAAAACCACCAAAACAAGTAACCTCAAAAACGCCTTGTCCACACCTCCAAAACAGCTCATTAAAGAAAAATACAGCCCGGCCGTTTAGGGTATATGCTTTGCCATGCATGGAAGTGAAGAAATTAAGTAATCCTAAAGCCAAAGAATCCTAAAAAAATAAAAAAACAAAAGCTTCTCTGCTACAGCTTCGAAAACCACACCCCAACATCCCCTACAAATGCCCTCCGAATCCCCAACTCTATCCATCACCAATCCATCCACAAACCGATCGACAAGTAATAGCTATTACTTTTCATCATCATCATCATCATCCTCTTCCCATAATTAATGGCTGCTCAAAACAGTTCCAGAAATGTCCTTCATGTTTTGGGTTGCATCTCTGCATGTATAATGCTGTTCGTGCACAAGGGCAGTGCTTTGGAGTTAAATGTTGGAGGTGATGGGGTTTGGAATGTGCCTTCCGATAAGGATTCAAACCGTTACAATCAATGGGCTGAAAAGCATCGCTTTCAAATAAATGACACCATTGGTAAGTTTCTATCTTTAATAGCCAACTTAACAACCAATACTAAACCTGATGAGTTTAAACATATATTAGAAAAATTACATGGATGTATTATTATTTGCTATGTATGGCGCGCAGTTTTTAAGTTCCAAGACAAAAACGATTCAGTGCTTCTGGTAAGCAAGGAGGACTACAACAAGTGCGATACATCTAATCCCATTCAACAATATGGGAGTAATGGCGGCGGCCAGCAGACGACGGTCACGTTGGGTCGCTCCGGTCCATTCTACTTCATCAGTGGGCTCCACTGCGACAAAAACGAGAAACTCGTGGTCGTGGTCCTGGCTGACCGCCGCCACAACAACCCGGCGGCGCCGCCTCCTCAGTCCAAGAACCCGACAACTCCGTCCCCTGCCCCGGCTGGCGAAGGGTCTCCCCCACCACCGCCTAGTGGCCCAAGTCCGTCGGTGGTGGTCACCCCAACTCCGGCGCCTTCCATAGATTCTCCTCCCAGCAAGAGTGGCGGATTTCAAATGGTCTCCGGCTTCGTTTCCTCCATTGGAGTAACTCTTGTGGGCTCCTTGCTCCTGCTCTTTTAACTTAATTGGAGGGATTTGTGTGATTAAAGTATAAAAGTGTGGCCTGGGCGCATTAATTATTTGTTGTTTGATTTGAGTGCATAAAACTTTGTTTGAGAAGCCCTTTGGTCGTTATCTTTTCTTTTCTTTTTATAATACGGAGTAAAACTTTATAAAAATATGGTTTGTAGTGAATAAAAAGTTGTAATTCGTTTTTTATAATCAATGCATATCCAATTTAATTTTAACTTATGTGATATTGGCATACTCAATTACTCAGCAATAACAATACAAATATGATAATTTGAATGAAAGGTTCTAATTTTATTTCATTTATTGAATATATATAAAAAATGATGCCCTTAGATTTTTAAGAAAAAAATTACACTGAGAGTCTGTTTGATATACGGAATTGGTGGAATTGGAATTGTGATTCCATAAAATTCAATTCCATAGAATTGAATTCATCAATTTCAATTCATTTTTTGCACTATCAATTCTAAATCCACATAATATTTGTGCTACCAAATACCAGAATTAGAATTGAAGTCCTCAGTTCTAATTCCATAATTTGAATTCCTTGTACCAAACGGGCCTGAAGAAAATCGGCAACTGCATGCACATGGATGCCAATTAAGCAATTCACAGGCCGAACAATGACAAATCCAGCAAGGGTATCATTTTATTACAAATTTTAGAGATGAGTTATGTTTTTGTTAGAAATTAAAAATAAAGTCTAGGAAAAAAGATGAAAATAGGAGCACAAAAAATGAAGAATTGTAGGACATGATTACCGTTTTAAGATTTTAGGCATGACTATATTATGGGCCCGCAATGCCCCGCCTCCTAAACATTTTAGGCATGATCTGATTACATTTTGAGGTGTTGGCGTGAAATATCAGAGGGAGGAAATCGAATCCTTTTGGAATTCAGTTGAGTATCTTTTCAAGTTTGTTTAATTTTTACTTTAGTAGGAATAAAAATTTTCTTATTTGCTTTACCCTTTTCATATATAAAGAGCACTAGATCTTTGTATTTACAAGACAATTCAATACAAAAGTATTCTCTATATATTTATTATTTTCTACGTGGTATCAAAGCAGGTTTTGAATTCTTGAAACCTCAAACACGCTTCTTTCCCTATCGGTGGCATACATAACTCAATGCCTACCGGCGAGATATTGTAATTTTTTATTTTCTTTGACTGTTCTCTTCACTAAAGAATCTCATGAACTGCGCGCTTCAATGAAGAACATTACTGTCGATGAATCCCAACCATTAATCTTGAAGAGGTTTTCTGACAAGGATTTTTATATAGAGATAGACAACTCATTTCTTTGCAGGCGGTAAAGAAAAAAATTCGGCATTTAGGGTGTTTGAAAAGAATGACGTTCTCCATGTTCGTTCGAATTTGGTGAAGGTTTGAAAAGAATGACATTCGTTTACTCGACGACAGATTTGAAAAAGTGGCGTCTCCATCGAAAAGAAGAAATTTTTTTTGTTGAAGTGTTTAGATGAGACTTGAACAAAGATAATTTGATTATGTCTTGTCCAAGCTGGGTATTCGGAACCCCCATGCTCCATCTTGAGGAGGGGGGGGAGGGGGTGTTGGCCTTAGATATTAAAAGAAAGAAATCGAATCCCTTTGGGATTTAGTTTAGTATCTTTTCTAGTTTGCTTAATTCTTATTTTAGTAGGAATAGAAATTTCCTCATTTGCGTTACGCTCTTCATATATAAAGAGCGCTAAATATTTGTATTCACAAGACAATTCAATATAGAAATATTCCCCCTTTATTATTTTCTACATGAGGTAGCCTTGTCCATGCTAATTTGCACTTCCTCAATCCCAAAATATCTTTTTTTTCTTTCTACCTTGTCGAAGTAGCTTGATTGCGAGGAAGATTGAGGTCTTAGATATTTGTACTATATATGTGTAAAATGGCAGAGGAGAACACATTGCATCAATTAGTCAATTGCACATATGCACAGAGCATTTGGGGAGCTTCATATTTCAATTGGTTTACTTCATAGAGGGATTCGTTTTAAGCATGGATTGTTTCGAAGGATAGTGGGAGGTGGGAGCTGAGGGAGAACTACAAAAACGAGAGGTGAAGGCATAGCGACAACAACTTGGGAGAAGCTACATCATGACTACGTCAAGATTAATGTGGATGTCTCGACGGGGTTGGTAAATGGAGTCTGATCTCAGGGTTCCGTTTTATTACTCACGACTATCAATGGACTTTTATTATAGCACAAAATTTGTTTTATAGGAAATGTTTTGGGCCTAAAAAATAAAGGTAATTGTAATAAAGAAGGCTTTAACATGGATCTAGGGCAAACATTATAGGAACATATATATCATTGTGGAAACATATTGACTGATCTTATTTTAATTCTCTTAATAATTATATCAATGACTGATGTTATTTTAATTCTGTTATTGATGATTGTAAACATCTCGGGAGTTTTTGTGACAGAGAACTTAAAGTTTCAATTTAGTTTTTGTTCTGCCAATGTTGTTAATCGTGTGTTAGCTCGAGCTGCACATTTTTTTAGAGTATTAGAGTGGATTGAATCGCCTCTAGTTTTTCTTGTGACTATTTTTTAATTAAATATAATGGTTTATTTGAAAAATCACTTTTACCGTAAATAATTTTTCATTATCTATCACATTATACCTTTTTATTAATAATATAACCATCACATCAAGGGAATTTTGTGAAAGGCAACATAAATATATCTCTTCTTTAAATTATATAAAAATCAAAGTTAATAGATTTAGGGATAGGGGAGTAGGACTTAATCAAAAGTTTCCGAAAATAGGCCATAGGTGCAAATTCATTTACCTCCATTTACTTTCTTCAAAGGGCTAAAAAAACCATTTCCCCTTGCCATTTATCCATCCTTCTCACAATACAAAAGAAATAGTTAGCATTGTGTGAGAGAAGGCTTGTCAAATGCGGGGCATTGTGCCAATGCAATTATTACAATACACCTCATTCACCGCACGCACTAAGAAGAAGCTAAGTAAGCTATAAAGAACAATTGACAAATGAAAGGCATTCAAACAATGGAATAAAAACTCTAATAATAAATCAACCAAGACTTGTCGAGATCAAACTCACACACTCTATATATTCATATAGTTTACTAAAGAAATGCATGCGTATATCTTGTAATTTACAAATTACACAATAAATGCAGCCTTTATCAAGGAAATGGTTTCACATACAAGTTTATGTACAGTCAATACAGACTCTAGAGGAAGATGATAATTACCAGTAGAAGGAAGCTGCTCATCCATTATCTGAAAGCATATGGTGAGAATGCTTCCACCACCACCATCTCGAGAGGTAGGTAGGATAACAAAACCAGAGGGCAATATCGATACATGATCTATGTCTTTCTCGTCTAAAATGTATTGCATTGCTACCTCATCCACTGGTGCATACACCACATACATTGTTTCCGAATCGGTGAAGCTCTCTTGTAGGTAAATCTTTGCTTCTTGGTCTGTTGTTCCCAAAGACTAAGATGAAGATTTCTTATGTAAGTGATGACCGAAAAAAAGCACGTGACTAAAGTTGAGGTAAAATGTTGGGGGTTAACATCATAATCACTTACCTCGACTATGAGTACTGATACAGAACTTGTAGGGTCTCGAGTAGAAGAAATTCTCATCTCATCCCGAACATTAGAGCCAATAGACAATAGATCCCACTGCAATATAAGACATGTGTTAGAAATATTATTAGGAGAAAATGTTTTCTAGTATTTCTCTTATTCACAATGAGTTGAAAGTAATACGGAGTAATAATAATAGAGTAAAAGAATCTCGAGAGGCTGAGAATTCTAAAAAGAACCAAATTGTACAAGGAAACAAACAATACATCGAGATATATACCATAAAGTGCATTGCCAAAAATATGCATGTGTGATAAAAAAGGGGACGTCCTTATGAATTTTCAAATGAAGGAACCCCCTAGCAGTGATTAAGGGATCGATTAATATGATAAGCTATCGAAAGAGACATCCATAAGTGGAGTTCTCGTGCAACACTAAGGATATGACAGTGTTTCCACTCCATCTATCCATTTTGTTGAGGCTAGAGTGGAGACACAAGATGTATCATCAAGAATACCTTCCATGAAGCATTCCTCCAATCAATCAAATTATGTTCTATTGTCACTATAGGAAGATTTAGAGCAATTCCAAATTGGTATTTAACCATGTTTTCTACTGCATTATCTAAGCGACGTTACCCAACATCAAGGTTGTATCCCAAGTTGTAGACTTGTGCCCCAACACTCATCCAAGTACACATTTCTTATCTATTCATCATCAATTGTTTAATGAGTGGGGTTCTGTTGATGTACATTCGCTAACGGTGGCACCAGCGGTCAGTGGAGGATCCAAGAAATCAGGTAGATGTGGGCTTAATTGGTTGGGGATCTCGGGGCAGCGCCCCTGGATTTATTTTTTAAATAGACAATATTGAATAACAAAAAAATAATTAATTTTATTTTAAACATTTATTGAATCTAAAATATTGTTTAATATGCAATATAAAATCTTATTATAAAAAATAAATTATATTTAATTAAATACACTTCAATAAAATTAAACAAAAAACTAAAAACTAGCTTAATTACATAAGATTCTATTAATTTTTGTTGGATGTACATAATTTTAGATGGGGTCAACCATAATTTAAATGGAGGCATGCATGCACTCCAAAGTAAAGAATATTTTTTTTCAAAACAAAAAATAATAATTTAACACCAAAATTTAGTAGGGAGCATTAGCCCCCAATCATTCTAAGTAGATCTGCCCCTGCTAGTGGTGCCAGAATAGTTTTGGAGCACCTCCGGTACTCCAATTGGAAAATTGATGGTTCTTACCCCCTAACCCATTCTCTAAACCCCAACCTAGCCCCACCCCTAGCCCCACACGTTTTGAGAGGGGCTTAGGGCGGGACTGGGGTAGGAGCTAGGGTGGGGCTAGGGATGGGGATAGGGTGAGGGTTTAAGGGTAGATTAAGGGATAGGAACCATCAACTGGTGTCACCGTTACCGAGTGTCAATGGAACCGTGCCCTTGGAATTGTTTTATATATACACTTTAAAACATATGATGAAATGGATGTTGGGGTACACCGTAGATATTGGGGTACATTTTGATTTACCCCAAATGTTTTTGTTGAAATCCATCTAGTGATTAATAATATATTACCTCCATCCTTGAGTATTTGTTTAGCTTTGAATTTTTTCAGTCAACTGTTTTTTAATTTTTGATCTATAATTAACTAAAATATACTCCCTCCGTCCCGGAGTATTCATCCAATTTTGACTTTTGGAACTGTTCATCTAAGCACTTTGACTCATCAAATTCTCTCAAAGTGTAAGCCTAAATATAGTCATGTGTGATCTTGTTTGATTCGTCTTAACATATAGATTATTAATATAAAATTTCTATAATTTTTTTAATATACAAATTACAAAATAAAATCGATTAAAGAAGTGTATTGGATGATGTGTAAAAATGAAAGTGGACAAATACTCTGGGACGGAGGTAGTATATAGTATATTAATTAGATAAAATAATATTTGAAACAAATTCTTATAATAAATCTAATAAAACTATTTTATTATCAATATCGAATATCATTTTTATTTAAGTTGATGTCAAAGCTTATAAATATTGATCGAAAAATTCAAATATGGAGAAATACTCAGATATTGAGGGAGTATTTTTTTTCTTATTTTCAACCATGAGCACAAGCCTAATCTTTATCTTCTTTCTCGATTGTCCAAGTTCCAACCAAGTCAAACAACCTAAATTTGTTAAACGCATAAAAAGTTTGGAGATCCATGGCCTAGAAAAGAAACCCATTTAATTTGGCCACAAAAACTAACACTTTTTAGAGAATACCTAGAAAACAAAACCACCTAGAGGAGTTTTGCTTAAGAGATAGCTAGATTGCACTCTTTTAATGAAAATTAAAAGTCAAATGAGAAAGAAGGATGATGATAAAGAATTCAAATTATGTATTGGAGTTACCTTGTTGCGGTTACACCCATTGCTTAGGAAGTCAAACAAGTGATTTTGAGGAATTGGTATCAAAACCGTAGTACAAATCGTCAAGGCAACGCCAAGAGGGAGCCCTTCAGGATCACCCTCTAATACATTCATGCTTGCTTTGACAAAGATTTCCTCTCCAGCTGTTTCATCACTTATGGGTAAGGCCACCCATGAACGTTCACTTACGTTTCTACAATAATGCCTAACCATCCTTTGAGTTAGCTTCAATAGATTCTTATTCCCAGCCCCTATCACTATATATGCATATCATTCATTAGTTGAGACAATAATTACTATCATAAACTGTGCATCAATTCTTGATTACACCATTATTAACTAGCTTGTTGAAGATAATTAATAATGATTACCTGCTTGCGTCTCTAGACTCTGCATCCTATCATAATATCGTTCCATCGTTGCAATCATACGTTTTGAACTGAATGGGGAGTCGTCCGAAGTAAGTAAATCCTTAAACATATCATGAACAAAAACATTGTCTGCGACGACATTATTGTTCTCCACCCATGTAACCTGAAATGGTTATTGAATTAAGAAGTTGGGTTGGATTATTAGAGGTTATATGATGATTAAGTTATGTGATTATTGTGCATTAACTAATTTAATTGGGATATACCATACATAGTCCGGGCTGAATTTCTTGGATTAAACAACCAGAGGGTCTTCTATTGATCAAGTATGGTAGTGGTAGTGCTTGATTAGGGAACAAACTTTCTAGGGAAACATCAGTTACTATCCAAGTATTGTACTCTATTTGCCTGCAAAATCTTGCAAATTTAACCTCTTGAGGCTTAAACAGTGGTGAAGGAAGATAGAACTCTGCTGTCATCTAGGAAAAAAACAATAGAAAAACAAAATCAGTAATTGGAGTTTTAATTCTTAAATACTCTGTAAAAAAATAGATAAGCAATGCTCCCGTGTATTTTCTTTACATTTGACTTTTCTTTATTAAACTTAAAAAGTTTGACCATGATTTGTAAAATAAAAAAAAGGAACTCGTATATTTTGTTATACTCCGTATTGTAAATTTAATATAATTGAGTTAATTGTAAGAACTATTTTTTATATATTTATGTACAAATATAATTATTAATGGTCAAACTATAAAAGAGATTATGGGATGGAAGAAGTCTGTTTCTTTCTAAGTTTTTTCGTATTTCTGTTGTTTTTTAAAGACGACCAATACAACGCCGAGGTGCGTTGACCTCCAATTCTAAAACCCGCTTAAACCCTTGCAAATTAAGGCCCAATTTATTTCATAATCTTTTGTTAAAATCTCACATAATTGAATTAACCTAGGGGTACACTAACATGGAGTACCCCATTTGTACATCAGACACACACAGACACAAAATATCTGTGTGGCACAGACATTTTGTGTCTGCGTGTGTTTGTGTTAGCCTGGTGTACAAATGGGATACCCCATGTTGGTGTACCCCTAGCATTGCTCCACATAATTTCCTTCCTCATGTTTTCATGGGGGATCAATTCCGGGTGAATTTCTCATATGTTGAATGCCAAGGGGCGCTCTTCTTATATATGTTCCATATGACGTTTAATTTTGTTACATTAGGAAGCAGTGATATCTGAATTCCTTATTTCTAGCTCAGTAAGATAAAAAAAAACCAATTCAATCACAAGCTTATACTTGCGATTCTAAGTCAGAAAAAAGTTTAGTACTCCAACAAATTTGAGTAGAAAAGAGACAAGGATATAGTCATAATGCATTTTTTTCCTGGCAATTTCTTACTTACCACTTGCAGAGCTCCATTGTGGTTTTCCTTTTCACCCCGGTATAGAACTCCAAGACATTTTGCCTTTGAAACAATATTGGAGAACACGCTTGACCAGTGTTCCTGCAACGTCAAATTATCCTTCCCATTACTCCGTATAATGTTTCAAATCTGGTTTTTTTTTCTAAATCTAACAAAACAAACCTTTCCAAACCTTACTCGTATAAATTACCATCATTACCCTTAGCGAACGTTTACAATTTCCCCTCCCAAACCTCAAAACAAGATATCCTTTTTGAGACATAAATGCTCTGATGTAACAGATAAGTTAATACCCCGTAATAATTAGTAGGGTTGAAAGAAATTTTTTAATTGAAAGTGAAAGTATTACTAGACAAATGAAAAATGAAAACAGAAATATATTTTTTTTGGAAGGCATGGGGAGTATAGATTTTCATTGTTGTTTCTACCCAAGAGAAAAGTAAACAAATCTTACCACATCCATCAACATATCCAAAAGGCTAACGGGACTCCCAAGAACAATCCCAATTGATCTGGACGCTTGGTTCTTCAAAACGGGCGGCGTCACATTGGCAGCCCCATTCATGCCGGGGAAATAATGCCGCGTCTCTCCTCCGGTGGATACCAACTTGATGATCTCATCCAAAGTGGCATCGAGCGACACGAACCGCTGGGTGTATTCGGGTTCGTTCAGAACCTCGGAGGCCTTGTTGGTGTCAAAGAGCCACAGGGGCTCTTGCTCTTGACCCATTTGCCTCACCTCTTCACTCGCTGACAACGCAAGATTCATTATTCTCTCTTTGTATGTGTCTGCATTTATCGAAACCGATAACAGTAGAGACTGAAAATTCAGGTTTGAATTTTCCTGTTTTGGAATCACAACCCATAGTTAGTTTAGGTAATGTTATAATTAACAAACTAAAAGATCGAGGGAACACTTATTATATACGGTGTAGAATTGTGGATGTATGCATGACATTATTTGATAAATTCACACAATAGAGAATTGGAATATGATTGAGGAAACAAAACAACAAACCTGTAGTGTGTGCATGTTTGATATATACTTCGACTGTTTTATGCTGTTTTCTTTTCTCTTCGTTTTTCTGCTGCTTCGGGTGTGAAAATAAAGGATGGTAACTACTCTCAGTTACAATAAAGGAGGAGATAATCTCCATATATATCTTACGATAATTGATACGTACCAAGTAAAAGTTGTAAGACATTAGATGCTAATCTATAGGAGGTTTGTTAGTGGATATTACTAATAATTTGTCTAGTTTTATTTCTTGAGTTAAAATTAGGCAAATTTTAAATTTTAATTATTCTCAATTTATATTACGGAATACTCCCTCCGTCCGGAAATATTCTTTCCATTTGACTTTTCACGGTCTCCAATATTGCACTTTGACCATTAATATTCATATTTATACATAGATATATTTTATAAGAATTTGATATTTGAAAACTACGTTTCATTATGAACATATTGATATTAAATTTACATCATAATACTCCGTACAATGTGTTTTTTCTACAAATCGTAGTCAAAGTTTATAAACTTTGACCAAGAAAAGTCAAATGTGAAGATCATTTCCGGACGGAGGGAGTATTTATTAGTATGGGAAGAAAGACTAAAATAAAAGTAAAAGAGATGTCATATCCCAAAATAGGAGCTGAAAAATAAAATTTCAAAATAGGAGTTGTTCACTAACCCAATGATCTCTTTTCTACTGATTTGCTCTCCTCCTTGCCGATCGGTTGGTCCATCAACACACTCCACCCTTTTCTTGGCTTCTATGTTCACTTTGATCCCATTTTAGTTCATGAGGACAACCTAGAAAAAAATTACTCATCTTCAATGGTCGCAGAGGAGGAACTCCTAACCCATAGAACTAAGGGACTGCCCTTACAAGTCTCTATTGAAATGCACTACTGAAATTTGTTTTCTCGCCTTGTTTGATTCATTTTTTGCACTTTCTTGATAATGGATTATGAAAGCTCGGAAAAATAAAATATCATCACTAATTTGAACTACTCACGTTACTGCTCACGCTACAATTTAATATATTTCTTACCCCCATTTTTAATTTATTAATGTATTTAATTGTTGTAAAAATAAATGATATTCCAGCTATTAAGGCGGAACAACAAAACTGCTCTTTACCATTGTCGCCAACACCACCACCACTAACACAATCTGCACCGTCAACTTTACAGTGTCACATCAACTCTTAAATATAGTGCATGTCAAAAAAATACTTCCTCGCTCCGTCCCTAAAAGATCTTCCCCTTAATTTTTTTGTTGTCCCAAAATATGTTCCCTTATCTATTAAAAAACTATTTTTACTACTTACTTTTTCATACCCTATCTATCACTTCATACATTTTTACTAATAATTTATACATCACATCTTACTTTTAACCATCACATCAAGGGTATTTTTGAAAAATCAACACAAAAATATCTCTCTCTTAAATCTTCAAAAAGTCAATAAAGGAAGATATTTCAAGGACGGAGGAAGTATATTGGAAAACATAATACCATATAATATCACAAATGACAATGCATGCATAATGCCACTGATGCCCATATGTGATGTCACAAATGTAAATTTACAGTGTCACACAGAGCCATAATGCCAAACCTGACACATTGCCATGTACGATTGTCAGGAATCATCACCCCTTTCACAGCCACCTTCATGGCGGCGAGATGACCAACCGCCCCTGACGGTCATGGACCTCATATTCCCGACATCAAATTGCCATCCCAAATCATCCAAACAAAATTCAAAGAAAATAAAATTCAATTAAAAATCGAGAGAGAACCCGGTCATTCTCGAAATCAAGGCTTTGAGAGAAAACAATGGGGGTGGGGTATGAATCTGAGAGGGGTTGGGGCGGCAGCGGCGATGGCACTCGAATTAGATGGCGACAACGGAAGGAATCGTTATCATGATATGGAACGTAGAAGCTAGACGGCGGCCAAAACGAGATCGGCACAAGAACAAGGCCGGCCGAGGGATGGGCCGAGCAACCCTACCGGATCGGGCCAAGGTGTTTCAAACTTGAGTACTTTAGGGTGCTAGAAATGCTCCATCCACTTGAGCTACTTAACATATTGTTGTGTGATTCACCCAATAGAATATATTGTTAGGCCCCTACTGCAAACAAACGTGGTTCGGCACCTCAAGACCTACTCCACGACCCCCTCTGGGATAAAATCTCACTAGTAATTTTTGCACGGAAAAATTACAAACCCTCTCCAATATTTGACACTCACAACCTAAAATATAATACACAATTATATAGATTGAAGGATTGTGTTGTGTGTTGGAAGCTTATACACTCTCTCTATTTATAGGCTCCAATACCTTCTCAATTTTCCTATCCCACCGATGTGGGACTTTGAAGTAACACTCAACATATATATGGACTATTTTGATTTTAATAAAACATTCAATTATTTTTAAAAAGAAACACGAGTAGTATCTAGTATGTTTGTTTTATAAACCTATAAAATAGTTCAAAAAATAAATAAATAATTCTTGTTCATGTTTTATCTAAAAAGTAATATGAATACGTATACCTAAAAATTTATTTTATTCAAGAAAAAAGAACTTAAGAAATTATTTTCATTAATAAAAATTAAGAAATACTTATTAATTATACTTTTATATATTAAAATTATATTTTTCTTCTACTTTTTCTTGTTTCAATTAACTAAATATGAGTCTAGAGCGCTACATATAAATTACAGATATTATCTAAGAACACATTACCTAGCTTTTACTTTTTTTAAAATATGAGTATTGCCTTACTATTTTAGCGTTTGTTAGATATTCGTTATTTATCTTTTATAGTCATAAAAATAATACAAAGAGATCATAGAAAGTGTGACGACATATGAAAAATTATATTGAAAACTTGATAGAAGAGTGAAAAAACACAAATTAAATTTCCATATTAATTAAAAATATCTAATAATATAATATAAAATATGATTATTTTAATTTTAGTTGGCCCAGGCGTTGACCCCCGGTTCGACTGGTTAACCTTGACGCACTAGCTCGTTCGGGTCGACGTCTGGACTGATTTCCAGAACATTGATTTGGGGATATAAGTATGTATAAACCCTTTACTATAATTTTATAATTTACTAATTTTTTAAAAATATTATTACATTAATTGTAATTTAAATGTAATCTGTTTGCACATTTTACTTCGTTAGGCAATTAGGAATAAGGTCAATAAGGCCTTTTTTCTGTCTCGTCCCAGGCCATTGACTTCTCGGGACTGTCCGTGCAGAAGATGGATGATTTTTGCCAATTTTAGTTTTCAGGGCAGTGCTAAGAATGTTCCGTGATGTTCTTTTAATTTAATTAACTCCTATTTTGGGAGTATAAGTTAGGGACTCTTATTTTAGGAATATACATAATGA